AATGCCAAGTGACTGACAGAAGCAAACATCCCCTCTGGAAGAAATGGGTGTCAATCCAGGACTACAGAGATTGTATGACACTAATGACCATAAAATACATCTCAATTTCAGTACTATTAAAATGTAAAAAAGGTGAGTACCCTGCAATTAATTAAATATAATATTGTTCAGCAATAGAAGATGCAGAATGCTCCCATTTGCGGGGAGAAAAGGAGTGTGATGTGTGTACTCTTTAATGCTTAGAAAATCTATGAAAAGATTTGCCGTGGCTCTTCCAGTCTTGAGTAGAAGGAAAATTTCCCTTTTTATCCTGCTTAATGCCATACCATGTGCATTTATTAGTTTTTAGCTTAAAAAAAAACTTTAAGAAATCTAAAAGAATAAAATGTATCTTTCATTGTTTCCTAATTATACTGTAAATTCCCTCTATAGACATACCTCATCCCCAAATCATAATCTTTAAGAATGGAATAATTAAAAAGTGAGTGATTTCCTCCTGTTTGGTTTCAAGTGTCATAAGATGCGTCTCATTGTTTTCTAAGAGAAACAACACTCTGAACAAAGAATTCCAAAAGTATTTATTTAGCACCCATGCATACATGATTAATCACCAAGGTCATTTAGAACAATGAGTTTTCAGATTTAAACAATGCCTCTAAGATTTCACAATCTAAAGCAAAATTGAATGTCCACACAAACCAATAAAGTATTGTAGCCCTCTAGAATACTTCCCCTGTAAGAATGTGTCCAGAGGCTTCATAAATTTTGTTCTTATATCCACAGCCCCTAAAACAGCATTGCGTTGGTAGTGGGTCTGAGTGACTAACAGAAGCAAACGTAGAAGGCACTCAAGAGTTATGTCTTGAAGAAATGTTTCATTGTATAAATATTGAATATACATTTACATAAGCATTTCTTCTAAAGAGTCAAGGGTCCAAGTATTTTTACGTGGGAGGGTAAAGGAGTTTCACGTACTCATTAGATAAATGTTAATTGAATTTCTATTATGTGTCAGGCTCTGTGCTAAATGCTGTAGACATAAAAATAAATAGGATAAGCTCCTGACCTTGAACAGTCCACAATTATAAGTAGTACAATAAAATGATGTAAGGGTTTATAACTAAGATAGGTACGAATGCACGTGCTCTGAGAACAGAGGGGGTATAATTGATTTCACAAGACAGAATGGTAGGGAAATTTACAGGGAAGGGACCTCTGATACACCTCTAAGCTGGCATTCCAAACCCGAATCCCTACTCAGCTTAGGCAGGTGAACAGCAGAGTTTGGTCACGCTCAGGACTATGGCAAACTGAGAGGTTATGCCCATCTGGAAGCAATGCCTGCTACTCAGTCTCACCACCTGTTGCCTTACAGACTATACACCTAAGGTCATCATAGTTCCAATTTTTCAAGAATGGATGGAGGTCACATTTGTGTGTGAAAATAGTTTGGAATTGATTTTTTTAAAAGCTTTTGAGGTAAAACAAAATATGTCTGTGAGCTAAATCTGGCTATCCAGTCAAGAGATTATAATCTCTGCTTGGAAGTATGTCTATTAAGAAAGAAAAAGGCATTCCATACATCCCTTATTAAACTCAAATTTCTACAAAGCACAAACAAAATCAAGTGTGTGTCACCGTGGAACCCATTTAAAGACATAATACCCAGGATCCACTTTTAAGTCATAGCAGGTTTTGTAACTATACTTTTACGTTTATCTGGAATGAAGAAAAGGGGTTCCTAATCCAATGTTTTCTAGAACACAAGTAATAAAAAGCCTCAAATCTAGGCACAAGTAAAATTAAAGGCTATTTTCAAAAGTCTTTGTGAAACTAGAAATATCTTTTTATGTCACATTTTAAATATGCCCCGTTTTTGTAAAGGATTATTCCATGATTTAAATAGCACAAATGACTAAAAAGTAAGCTTAGTAAATTCTATCAATATAATAAAATTAACTAAAAAAAGTTTTAGAAATCTATTTATGCAATGTCAGTGCTTATAAAACTATTTAAGAAAATAATATCTACCTACCTTTTTTGCTTTGCGACCCTAAAAGTTGGAAACATAAAAGAATTGATACATTTTTTAAAAATTCAGGCATTTTTAACCAAAGTACCATGATTATGTGACATGTTAAAATTCATAGAAGCTGGGTAAAGAGTATAGGGGAACTTTGTACCATTTTTGCAACTTTTCTGTAAATCCCCAAATAAGAAGTCTTTTAAATAGGAATACAGACAAAACAAAAAGCAAGTCTAGGAAAAGCTAAAAATAGTTCACCCACTGAAACATTCTTTGTAAGTAAATTTTGCACTCTTACAACAATCATTCAATAATCCACATTTAATGAAATGTCCTATCACTAAGCAGAATACCAGTCAAGAAGGCCCTTGTTTAAAGGGTTCCAAAGAACAATAAGGCATTGACTAAGTATTGGCACTAATGTTAAGTCTGAAAGTATGGGATGCTCTCATAAAGAAATAATCTTTCTGTAAAATTCGATTTTATAGAAAACGAATCGGTTATTTAAAGCAGGAAAGCTATGATAAAATGATTCTATTCAGCAATGTGTCTGAAAGCAGATCAATTCTTTTCTGGAAATTATTTTGGTAAGTTGTACACTTTCCAAATAAAAAGTATTTCAGTAAACATTTACACTTATGCGTAGTTTTTGATAACACTCCTTGAAATTTTCTGATTAGCCCCATGTATCCATCAGTTTTCTGGTAAGGAATTTGTAGGAGACCATATGACTATAAGATCATACACTTTCCATATTTGAAGCCTTATACAGAAGAAATTACAGGTTCAAGCCTTAAGGTTATTCCTGTACAAACTATAAATGTTAAAACTGACACAAAGTAGATTATACCTTCTTGAAAGGTGCATATATTTCATCAATTCATTCAACAGATATTTATTAATGACTTATACAAAAGGCACTCTGAGATGCTGGAAATGATATAAAGAGGAATAGTAGAGATTTTGTGCTCATACAATTTTTATAAATGGGTTCGATTTTTATTACCATATTTGCTATCAGTTAATGGTTAACATTCTTCCATCCTGAAGTAAGTACGATATAGCAGAATAGGTAAATAGCACTGCCTCTGTTCTCAAGTAGTCATATTTTTAAATAGATCCAAACTACCACCTTTCACTAGTGCTTTTAATGTGAAACAGGTTTCGGGTGAGCACCTCTCTGCACCCCTCCTGCTCAGAAGAGCATCATGCTGTGCAGTAGTTCTCAAAGTTCAGAGGGCTTAAGAAGCACCTGGGATGCTGGTTAAAAATGCGTATTACTTGACTCACAGTGCACACACTCACTTCCCTTCCCCCGGTGTGATTCAGTAGATGTTACGGGTTGAATTGTGTCCCCTCAAAATTCACACGTTGAAGTCCAATCCCCAAATGCCTCAGATCTTTACTTTATTTGTAATTAAGGTTGTTTTGATATAGTTTGTTAAATTAAGATGCGATCATCCTGGAATAGGGTAGGCCTCTAACCCACTATGACTGGTGTCCTTATAAAAAGGGGAAATCTAGACACAGATATGCACAGAGGGAGAAATGCCATGTACAGAATGGAGTCAATGTTGCTACAAGCTGGGGAACTAACAGAAGATAGGAGTGAGGCTTGAGCAGATCCCTCCCCAGCACCTGCAGAGGGAGCATAGCCTCCCTGACACTTTGATGTCACTTACTAGCCCATTTACTAGCTGGCAGAACTGTGAAATGGTGTTTCTATTGCCATAAGCCACTTCCTTTGTGGTACTTTGTTACTTGGCAGCTTTAGGAAACTAATACAATATAGATCTGGAGTCCACGCTGTTTCTGGTATCTGTGTTTTAACAAGCATTCCAGGTGTTAGAAGAAAATGTTCCAGGGACATTTTGAAACACTCTAGATGATCTAAGAAGAAATTTGTGTCCCACTTGAAAATAATAAAGAGGTGCTTATTGTTCTCTCCATTTATCATCCACTTTAAGTCGGCTTAAAGTCCTTTTAGGTTCTGTTCTCACTGACATGAACGTTCTCCACTCCCTTTTCTTCCCCCCAGTTCTAGTAAACTCATAATCATAATTTAAAACACAGCTTGAAAAGCTTTGCTCTTCCCTTCCTGCACCCTACCCACTGTCTCCCGCCCCAATTTAATCATTTCTGACTCCCTGTTACTCCATTGTAGTGGCTTCAATTGCTACAATTATAAAACTGTTTTGTAATTAATTTGGTTAGTCTGTTTTCCACAGCAGGGAGGGGCTGTAATATTCATCTTTGTATCCTTGACTTTCTACCTGGCACCAAGCACAAAGAATAAACTCCGTATTTTCCCTTAACTAATGAGTTAAATAATTAATTACATTTTCTACCCCCTTGGATTTACCCATAGATGAAAAGGGAAATCACATTTAAGCAAATGTAAAGGAGATAATCTCATAGCTATTTGTTGGTTTGTTCTTGAAGATGCGACAGCTGAGGAGTGCAGAAAAACACGAGCAGTCTATCATGCTTAAAAATTCAGGGCAGGCTTAGGACCTTAAATCATAAAACATTTATATTACAACAAAAGGCCATATAAAAATAATTTTTCGGAGCAGAGCAAACTGCAATAGCTTTTAATCAGCTGCTGAGGAGACATAAAAACGCATTTCCATAAAGGTGTAATAAAAAAAGCAATTCAATGGGAACATCTATCATTAACTGAACTTACCAGGCTGAGACCAGTTTTTAAGCTTAGTAGCAATGCGGGATTAAGAAACATCCTGACCGCATTAGCCATCGTCTGTTGTACAGAAACCGGTTTAGGATCCACCTGTCCGCTGCAACCCGGATCGGAAAGCTACGGATCCGAAGGCCGAATCCCCGCAGGGCAGGTTCTTCTTAAACCGACCCTCTCCCCTCTAACAAGGGACAGGCTCTTGCTACATCAATTAACACCGGTGAAGAAGAATCAATGCCCTCCCTTTCACCCGGCTCGCCCACTTGCCCCGCTCACCATACTGAGGAAAGCACCACGTCCAGAGTCGGCAACACCGCAGTTTAGGGTTGTTTGGACGAACGCTCCCGAGTTGTCATGACGACAAGCCCCGCCCGCATGCGCCCCGGGGATGGGACGCAGAGCCTCACGTACGGGCCCGCGCGGTCGCGCTGGGTTCTTCCGGGCGGCGCCCCGCCCCCTTCCTGAGCGGTTGCCCTACCCAATCCCTTGCCCCACCGCTTCGCTTTGCGGTTGACGGACGGAGGGGTCGACGCGGTCGGAGGCCTTTACGGCTGTGGTGCGCTGGGAAGTGCGTGAGTGCAGGCTTCGGGGAGTTCTATTGTTTTCCGGATCCTGGGATCTGGATGCGGTCGAGTGTGTTTTGAGCGAACTACCGGGTGTGGGAAAGGGCTTCCGAGCGTCTTCCGATCTTGACAGTCTCTGTTCTGTTACTCACTATGTTCCTGGAGTATATTGGGGTGAATCTTTCTATGGGGGTTTCGAGAAACAAGGAGCCGCCTGCTACGCGATTGGGTCAAGTGATTGGGAGCCGGGAGGGCTGCCTGGGCCACCAGTTCTTAGGGGAGGGGCTCAACTGGCCATTTAGATCTCTAGAGGTAAATAAATTGGCTCCAAGAGGGTTGGAGCTACTTCGAAATGAATGACCTTCAAATTTCGAATCTCTCTCTCTACACATGGTTCAGTTCAGTTTCTGTGCAAGGCATGTTATAAATAAGAACTGGAAACTATTCGAGGCAGTTACTGGCTCACGTATTCCTTACAGTTGAAGGTCGCCGAGGCCCAGCAAGGCTCATAAAGTTGTTGCCCTAGGTCACAGGCTAATTAACCAGTGCACAGCCTTCAGAAGTTCCGTCTTCTCACACGAATAAACACTTGGAACTTGGACCAACAGGAAAAAACTAGAAATGATTAAGAAATTAGGTCCCTTCCAAAGCCTAACTGAATTCTCTATGATTTTAGGACCTAAACCCTGTTTCCCTGTTTTAGTATGACAAGATACAAAATACTTTAAAATTATCATTAGCACCACTTCTATTTCTGAACTCTTTAAAATGCTGTCCCTTCCAACTACATTGACTAAGTGTCTTTGTAAGTATTACTTGGCTGAGTTAGTCTTTGTGGGTTAAAATGTTACTCCCTTTGTAACAGAAATCCGGACTATGTAAATTATGACATTTCACCTACAAACCCTGGTAGAAAGATCAAAACATCGTAATGTCTACTTAATAGAGAGTTCTGGTGCTGCGTGGTATGGAAGTAAGCTTTTATTTCAAAATAGTTTTTCAATCAAACTGCTAATATTTATGATACAGAATCTTAAGTCACCGAGGACTAATGAGTTTAAGGAGGTGTTCCAGTAATTCCAAATTACCTTAAATTGTAGGCCTCTAGGGAAGAGAATTTGGTCAAGTTTTCACTCTACCAACCTGTCCTAGAAAGGAGGAATTGCTGTGGATGTGTTAGAACACTACTGTGTGTATTCCCCAGCTCACTGTGTTCTAAGATTATACCAATGAACTTGCTTCTCACCTCTAGTACTCTCTTACAAGTTGCTTAAGTATAAGGCGGCCCATTTCCTATTCTTCTTTACCTTCAGATAGTGTAGTACCTAACATATTAACTATCGCCTTTCATATCGCTTCTAGGTTGGCCTGGTCTAGACCAAGCTAGTATGTCAGTCTTTGGGGGCAAATCTCTTGCCACCTACCTCTCTAATTACATCTTTTGGTGCTGACGAATTGGATAAGTCTTTGTATGAAGCTTTTTAGGCTTACCTAGTCTGGGAAAATGTGTTTTTAACCTGTCTGAGTCAAGTCGTCCGGAACCCATTGCACTGCCTTTTTTTTTTGCCTTTTTCCTTCAGCTTTTAGTGCATCTGTACTGCATGGATAAAAGTGACTAACAACAACTTCAGGCACCAAAACCCCTAGTAAAATGACAATTCTTGGTTAACCCAGGACTGGAATTGGTTAAGTCTTAACTCCTTAGCGCAGGATCATTGAAAAAAAGCTGTCAATAAGGATTGTACCTCCTTCTTTGCCCACACTCAAATACTCAGAATGATAGGGGACTTCCCTCAGTCCCTAACTACAAAGAGATTAACCTCTGTGACTTCATGAAGGGTTAAGGACCAGCCCCAGGTCCCTAATGACTTAAACTATTCACCAGTTGTAAACCCAAGGAGACTGACTTCTCCCAATGGCTAATAAACTGAAATGCCTGAAGGGCAAAATAAAATAATAAACTGTCTTAATTTGTGTAAGTTAACATATCAAAGAACATGACAAATTTACACTAGCCAAACAGCTATTTTTTGCTCAGCTAATTATTATGCATAATTTGTTTATAAGGGCAACAACTACAAAGGACAATTTAAAACACATCTCTAAAAGCTTTCACAGAATACAAATTGAGAATTAAGTAAAACTGTGCTCTTTGCCAGGAAATTAAACAGGCTATAATTTGCAATTTGAAATTACTGTATGTAGATTTAATATTATTTTTAAAGCACATGTTCTTAGTCATTTTTCAGTAAGATTAAACCACACTGGAAAATGGCTCTCAGCAAAAAAAAAAAGAAATTTAATGAAATTAGATGTTAATATTAGGTTAAATACACCCATCTAATTTCATTCCCTTCCAAAACTCCACTGAATCTTCAGTGAAGGGATATAAAAATAAATTGGACAAATGAGAGATGACAATAAAACCTTGGGAGCTGTAAAATAGATGAATGCATGTGACTTAGCTTACCAGAAAAGCCCAATTTATACTGCATAATTCTCAAAGGAGATTGGAACAGGGCCAGTGGAATTAGAAATGAAAAATAAAGTAGATTAAGTAGATTAAGTAAAGCTGTTTAAGAAATACCTCTAAGTCACTGCACTCTCGCTCCCATAGAAGTACGGAGGTTTATTTCTGGACAAAACACTCTTCTCTGGACTGAGGTGTCCTCACGTGCACTAAGTTCGTGAGAACCACCCTGGAAACCGAGCTTAAGTGAATTTGGATGTACATACTGCTGAATGCAGGGCTCCCACTCGTCTTCCACTTTTTAATGTTGAATCAGTAAATCCTCAGAAGACTGGGAAATTCTCTGTGGAATCTAACAAGCCTAAGAGGAAGGATCTAAGATATTGACATGGAAGTTTCCCCAAATAAAGGGCCCACTCAGATCACCCTAAGGAAGTGAAGCTCTATATAAACTGCAACCCTGTATGCAGATCTTCTAAAAAGCTCTTTTTTGTACTTTCACTTGAAAAAGTGGACAAAAAAGGATTGTTACACTGGAGGAAAGCTCAGAAGTGATTAGACAAAGCAGGCGGAAACATTAATTTGGAGAAAAACAGAATTGTAAAAAAGCCAGTGTTAATGAATTCAAAAGAAAAAAAAAACGTCTGCCCTCAGTATGCTTGTTACATGAATTAGCTCATAAACTACCAGTAGATAGGTGAATTATATGAGCATTAACATAGAAATGCTGGTTCCTATGCAATTTTTTACCCCTAAGAAAAAGCCAGACAAGCAATAGATTTTTGAACTTAAGAAATAAAAAGGTCTTCACTTAGCTGTCCTACTGGCAGCAGCAGTCTTTCAAGTATATATATATTTTTTAATTTAAAATAACAACTTATACCCAGGAAATCTCTCCCCAGAGAAGCACACCCTGTTCTTGCAACTATTGATTAATGGCAGGCTGAACCACCTGCCCTGACCACTAATTGGCAGCCTTGTGGTTTAGATGATCTCTACTTCCATGTGTACCTCTATCTTGCAGCCCTGCTCTTAGCATTTTGCCAGTGTATTTACACCAATTTTTCAACCATCTGACTGAAGTAAAACTGACATACAATAAACTACACATGTAAATACAATTTGATAAATGTGACATACACATATACCTATGAAACCATCACAATCATACTAAGGATATCCATCATCAGAAGCACATCTCTCCTCCCAAGGACTGCCGCCTCCTCTTTTGATTCCTTAGTGTCCAGTCCCTGACTCTCATTGCCAGTTACTCTTATTGTTGAGCATTTGAAACATCTCTGTGCTGTGTCAGGCTATGCTCAGAGCAACCCAAGTAGTTCAAATTACCTCTCCAGCTACCAATTTCTAGTTTTTATTAGTGCTCTGTTTACAGTTTCATAGGATTTGAATGGTCTGCTCTAAGCTATTTTTCCCTTAATCCTGTTATTTTTAATGTGTTTTTTGCAAGATGAAAGGTTTTTCAGGAATATAAATAGTTTCAAAGTACCTCCCACAAAATACTAACATCAAAAGGAAAAAATAGAGTAACTTTACAGTGGGGAATCCAAATACCACCTTATCAAAATTTAAATCAACCATACTGGAACAAATTAGGATTGTGTCCACTTGACAGGATGCACTGAAATAAACAATCTATCATGTCTGTAGTATTTCTATCCAAACTGAACCTAGCCATGAGATAACATCAAAATGAGACACATTCTACAAAATAAATGGCCTGTGATCTTCACAAGTGTCAAGTTTATGAAAGTCAGTGAAATCCTGAGGAACTGTTTCAGGCTGAAGAAGGCTGAGAAGACATGAACACTAACTGCAGTGTGTAAGGATCCTTTTGATATAAAGGATATGTTTGGAACAACTGCCAAATTGAAGGGGTTGTGGATTCGATGGGAGTTATGTGACAGTGTTAATTTCCTGATCCTGCTGGTCAAATCATTCTATAGGAAAATGTCTTTGTTCAGAGCAAATACACTACAGCTGTGCTGTCCAGTGTGGTAGCAAATAAGCCATTGGTATCTATGAGCACTTGGAACGTAGCTAGCATGACACACTGAAGTAGTATTTTTGATATAAACTAAGTATTCAATTAATTCCACTTGTTTTATTATTTAATATGGGCTAGTAAGAAAATGTAAAATTGTATAGGTGGCTTACACTATTTCTGTTGGGTGGCACTGCAAAGTATTCAGGCTAATTGGATATCATGTTAGCAACTTATTCTCAAGTAGTTCAGGGGAAATACTTAAGTACTGTGTTGCAATTCTCTGCAAAACAAATTGTATCAAAATAAAAAGCTTATTAAGGAGGAACATAAAGTATGAAACAGTTTTCCTAGATGACTGGGAAAATGGGAA